TAATTTGTGCCTGTTCCAGCTAAGTTATCTTAACTGTTGCTTATGATAGTTAGAGGATGCTTTTATTTCTGTAAGTAGTAGTAATAACTCTCCTCTCATTCTTGATTTTAGTACATTTAGTATTCTTTCTTTTGCTTAATTAGCATAGCTAAAATTTTATAATTTTGTTGATATTTCCAAAGAACTAACTTTTGAGTTTATAGATTTTTCTCTATTCTTTTTAATTTCTACTATAAACTAAGTTTTCCTTGATGTTTCCCTTGGGTTTAGTTTGCTTTTGGTTTAAGGTGGCACAGGCAACTAATTGAGGTGTTTACAGCTCTGGTTTCTCTCCAAGCACTGCTCTAGCCGCGCCAGCTTCCTCCCCAATATCTTGTTGACATTTTCTGCTCCTCTGAGGTTTTTCGCCTTCCTGCCAGTTTCCCCCCTCTCCACGTTCCTGCTGGAGGATCCCCTCCCTGCTTGGTCCTAACGGAAAGTAAACAGAGAGCTCAGTGCTGGGAACGGGCCGAGTGCGCGGCTGTGCTGTCTCCCTCCCTCCCTCCCCACAGTCCACCTGGGCGAAGGCAGAATCGTGTGAGAGCTGAGCACCTCCAGTGCACAGGGCGTCAACGGCTTGCTGCTCTTTTAATAGCATCCATCAGCTGTGGTCTTTGGCCTTCTCTCATGCTTTATAATTTCTCTCGGGGGATTTTAGGATTTTTTTTTTTAGTGCTACTTATGTATATATAGATGGTACCCAAGTATTTATCACTGGACTAGACCTTTCTACTCTGAACTACAAAGTAAAACCCGCTCATCCGTCAGGCATGTCCCCCTCTATGTCCCAGAAAGCTGACCCAATCAAGGCGTCTGTTGCCTCACGGTCCGTCACCTCTTCTTAGACCCGCATTCTCATTCCCTCTTCTGCCTGTTATTTTGATGGATGTTTCCGCCTGCTTCCTTGGGTTGCCCTCCACCCTGATGCCAGTTGACACTCGCGTCCCACCATGGCATGTCCCCTGAGGTCCTTCCTTTTGACTGACATCATCGTTACTTCACCCTCCGGCCAATCCCAGTGCTCTGTGCGAAGTTTCCTGGGGGCTCCAGGAAGAACTGGATGTCCCAGTGGTTCTCTTGCCTTTGTTTATAAATTTGTTGTAGCCGGTGCCGCGGCTCACTAGGCTAATCCTCCGCCTTGCGGCGCCGGCACACCGGGTTCTAGTCCCGGTTGGGGCACCGGATTCTGTCCCGGTTGCCCCTCTTCCAGGCCAGCTCTCTGCTGTGGCCCGGGAGTGCAGTGGAGGATGGCCTAAGTGCTTGGGCCCTGCACCCCATGGGAGACCAGGAGAAGCACCTGGCTCCTGGCTTTGGATCAGCGCGGTGCACTGGCCGCAGCGGCCATTGGAGGGTGAACCAACGGCAAAAGGAAGACCTTTCTCTCTGTCTCTCTCTCTCTCACTGTCCACTCTGCCTGTCAAAAAAAAAATTTTTTTTTGTCGTAGCCTCTACCACCTGGGGCATCTTGTATTCTTCCCTAGGCTTGTGTGCCGCTACTGCTGGGAGCTCCAGCTGGTAAGCAGTGGGTTTGCATCGTATCTAGAAAGCGTTTTGCAAATGCTTGTGAAGTAGGTGGTTGCGAGGTGGAAGAAGATCGCTTCCTGTTGGAGAGATGAGGGTCGGTGTGGATGTTTGCCCAGATCCGTCTCATCAGTGTGTGTTGAACTTGATCCCCTGCACTGTGTGACTGCCGTCCGTCTTTCAAGTTCCTGCTTCCATGCCTCTTGCCCAGGGGATTTAGGTTGCTTCGTGCATCTCCTTTGCAACACTTGCTGCAGTGCAGTTTATTAAATATTTGTGAAGCCATCCTTGTGCTGTGTGTCTGAGATCCATGGGAAGGAGGCCCTGCCCGAGGTGTGTCCTCTGCACCCTTGTTCCGTAGCCCCTTCCCAGGGCCCGGCCTTTAGCTGAAGCACAGTAAGTATTTTTTTGAACAAATGAATAGTCATAGTAGCCATACCTACCTTGTTAATGCTTAGTATTTGCTTTCTATATTTTGGCTACCAGTTTAAGTGATAGAGACAGCCTCACAGAGCTGACAACATAGCCAGCAAACATGTAAAGATGTGGACTCTGCGAGCTGTTGGGGTCCAGAACTGAAGACTTGTTCCCTTGCTGCCAGATACTTGCACTGTAGCCTGGAGTTAAATGAGGTCGCCGCCTGCCAAGCAAGAAGGGAGCATCATTCTGAGGACGCAGAGAGAAGCCTCAAATCAGAATCCATATGCCGTTGAATTAAAAAAAAGAAAGATATATCTATAAATGGTGGAATAATTTATCACAATACTGCACTCTTGAATTGATCCTAATTATCTCATGAGCATTTAATAGACTTAATCAGCCTTCCCAGCAGGCTCTCCTGCAGTCTTTGTTATTAATGAACGTCCTGACATCCAGGTCTTGGTAGGTCTGGGATTACAAAGTACACACAAGAACGTCTGAGAGTATAAATGAGCAGACTGTAGGCGAGTGCATATGGCGAAATCCGAAGATGGCAGTGCAACAGCCCCGAGCCTCTGTCTGCCAGGAGGCGTTGTGCAAGCCCACTTCCTTCCACTGTTGATTATGTTTAATGATTTGTACTGGACTTGGAAAATGACTTTGTTCAGCAATGTTTTTCACAGTAGTTCCCCAGTTACTTTAAGGATAGGAGAGCAAGCAGTCCGTAGCACGCTTGCCTGTAGGAGAGAACGAGTTCCCCTTTTCCTTTGCTGTATTCCTTGTCTACTTCCAAAAATGGATGTTGCTTAATTCTGTACCTCTTCGTGTGTTTGGATCTTTCCTTACAAAAGAAAGGGCAGAATGAAGTATATTTGAGAGAGCTGAAGAAGGCACATTTCCCAATCCCTTTGAAGTGTGTGGTATGTGTGACGGGCAAGAACTCCGTTCATTCCATTAATGGTTGTTGGCAAGTACGCTAGCAACCCGGTGACACTTGCCTCCTATGATTCTTTAAAACAAAGCAGCGACGAGTGGTTTCCAGCAAGCTCATGGAGAATGCACATCATGGAAGAAAACTGTGTGTGGATTTCAAAAACGTTTTGTACGCAAGTAAACTTCTTTTAATTGCATTTTCCATGAACTTTTGGAAGCACTCTTGTATAATTGCTTTAGTGTGGATGAATAAAGACACTGCAAATTTCTTAGTTATCTGTGAACGCCTCCTGCTTAGTGGAGACACACAACACTGTGGTCTGCTCCCTGCTCTGTCCTCAGGCAGCCTGAGGGTAGATGGGTGCCTGTGACACTGGCTTGTAGCCACACTGCACCCCTCACTGCTGTGTGGCGCTGGGAGCATTACTTTCCTGGCTCTCTGTCTCTTGCTTCATCATTGCACAACAGAGAGAATGGCATCAACTTCTACAAGGTGGAGAGGATCCATGAGTTAGCATGAGCACCAAGTAAATACTAAGAGCATGCTCTTCCCCTTCCGGTATTTGTACTAAAAAAGCCCACAGTAATTATGACCAATCTATTGGGTATTTGGTACAAGTTTGTTGCTAAAACACAACCTGGGAGGCAGCAAGCAATGGCTCACATAGTTAGGTTCCTGCCATCCACCTGAGAAATCTGAAATTCGTTCCTGACTCCAAGCTTCAGCCCTGGCCATTGCAGGCCTTTGGGAAGTGAACCAGCAGATGGGAGATTCTCTCTCTGTCTGTGTGTCTGTCTGTCTGTCTGTCTGTCTCTCTCTCTCTCGTGCTTTCTTTCTCTCTGTTTCTCTGCTCAAATAATTATTATACACAAATTAACTAAAGGACTTGTTGGAATCTTAAAAGGAGTTGCATTGAAACTATAAAGCAGTTTAGGGTGAATGGCCACCTTATGACTAAACCTTCACATTAGTGAACCTAACAGGTCTGTTTATTTATTTAAGTCGTCTTGAATTTATCTCAGCAGTGTTTGTGATTTTCAGTAGAGGCCTATTGCACCTGTTTGTTTATTCCTGAATAGTTAATATTTATATGCTATGTGTGTTTGCTTTTTAAATGTACATTTTCCAACTTTTCATTATTCTATGTAGGAATCCAAGTGATTTTATTGACCTTGTCTTCTGCAACATGGCTGAGGTACATTATAGCTCAAGTAGTTACATGTACAATGACTTTTTGTGCAGGTTTCTGCTGGGGGCTGGTCCTTCTCTCATCTCCCCATTGGCTCTCTGCTCGTCTTGGGCTTCCTTTGCGTTCTTTCCTGGGCATCGGGTCAGCTGTGGACAAAGATGTTCAAGGTCATGACTCAGTAAGGAGAAACAGAAAGGTTCCAGAGAGCTCCAGCGTTCACTGGCTGCCCTTTTGGAAACTGAGAATCTACAAGTTTATTTGGTCTAGGATTGTAGATGTGTTGAAACAAACTTTGCATCGTTCTTGTGTTGGGAGAGTGAATGCAAACATCACTGTCGCTCCCCCTCTTCGTGGAGGAACGACACAGGACCCTGCGCTGTTCTTTTGTCTGCTCGGCCCTTCCCGGGTTTGCTGCCAGTCCTTCCACCTCTGTGGAAGGGTGGCTCCCCCTGCCACTTTCCCCACTTCCGCGGGGGGAGCGGCACACCGCCGGCCGGCTCTCTCGGGGGCTGCACAGGTGTTCCTTCAGATAGATGTTCCCCCTAGATGTTCCTGGTGCATGTTGTCTCTCTCCTCCTTTATAGTCCTCTTCCACCAATCCCAACTCTGCTACCCACACGCCGAGTACGCTGCTCTCCTCCAATCAGGAGCAGGATCAGCTCCTGCAGGTTATTGGTCGAGCTGGAGGCAGCTGTGTAGAAGTTGTTTACTCCTCTCCCAGCGCCATATTGTGGGAGAGCAGATGCATAGAATAAGTCTTAATTCCAGTAACTTAGTCTAGTCCGAGTTGCTCCCCACACATCACCACTTCAGTTTCTTCTATCATAAAGAGTGGTCACGCCATCCTTTTTGAGAACGACGTTGTTAATGCTGTCCAACGTCTGATTCCTTTGTCAGGTGTCTGCTGGTTGATCGTCGGCAGCCGCAAGCACCATGCCTGAGCAGAGCAACGATTACCGCGTGGCCGTGTTCGGGGCAGGTGGTGTTGGCAAGAGCTCGCTGGTGTTGAGGTTTGTGAAGGGAACGTTCCGGGAGAGCTACATCCCCACGGTGGAAGACACCTACCGGCAGGTGATCAGCTGCGACAAGAGCATCTGCACGCTGCAGATCACCGACACCACCGGGAGCCACCAGTTCCCGGCCATGCAGCGGCTGTCCATCTCCAAGGGGCACGCCTTCATCCTGGTCTACTCCATCACCAGCCGGCAGTCCCTGGAGGAGCTCAAGCCCATCTACGAACAGATCTGTGAGATCAAGGGGGACGTGGAGAGCATCCCCATCATGCTGGTGGGCAACAAGTGCGACGAGAGCCCCAGCCGCGAGGTGCAGAGCAGTGAGGCCGAGGCCCTGGCCCGCACGTGGAAGTGCGCCTTCATGGAGACCTCGGCCAAGCTCAACCACAACGTGAAGGAGCTCTTCCAGGAGCTGCTGAACCTGGAGAAGCGCAGGACCGTGAGCCTGCAGATAGATGGCAAGAAGAGCAAGCAGCAGAAGCGGAAAGAGAAGCTCAAGGGCAAGTGCGTGGTCATGTGAGGGCCCTTCCCCGGCCTCCCTCCCATCCCCCATGTGAAACCCACCGTTGTCAGGGTAGCATGTACGACGCCCGCGTGTTAAACATTGCATTGGACCGAGCCAGGCCCTGGCATCCTTCAGAGGGCATGCCACACCGCCAACAAAAAGCCACCCCTCTCTGAGTCCCAGAACCCGCCAGGCAGTTAAAAGCCAACACCTGCAGCCTCCCAGGGAACTCGGGACAGTGCATTCCCCAGAGGGAGGTGGGAGGACCTGTCCCCATGATGGCAGCGTGTGCGGAGAGGACTGAACGCCACCCAGTGCATGGGAGAGTGCGTGAGCCCGGAGCCGCAACCCCGAGCCAGGCATTTATCTCTGCTCAGAAGCCGGTAACGTCTTTGGGGGAGGGACATGGGTATGGGCGGAGGCGAGAGCATGAGTCCATCCAAAGCGGACCACACTGGGTCCCTTTCATGCTTTTATTTTACCAATTTGTTTTAAATTGGGTTCAACATAAAACAACACAGCCTCCCTCAAAGGAGGGTCTCCACTCGCTGCCCCAGATCTGCCAGGGACCTTGTTACTACCCTTCCCCTCTTCCCCCCTCCAAAGATGCATTCCCCTGGTGTAGACCTAGCTAGCAAGCATCTCTCTCACCTCTGCCAGTGTTTCTTTTTCACATCCAATGGTGAGTTCCCTAACTGCGTGCTGTCCTTTCGGAATGCTTCGGTTCTGGAGTACAGGGTTGTAAACAGCATTAAAGCGTCACCTACTGCTTGCTCCTGGGGTTTCCCTGTGACAGTTTGAGGAAGGTGAAGCTTCTTCCCTTTGGTCCCCAAGGGTTGTGACTCCTTCAGCCTTCAGGTTTTAAATAAAAGCAAATAAAGCGGCTGTTTTTAGGCATTTTGTTAACCCTCCAAGATGGCTTTATTCTCTTAAATAATTTGATCTGTACCCAGCCAGGCAACAGCCAGCAAAGGCCATCTGACGACCAAAAGCTCATCTGTTTTTCTAAGTGACACGCACACGTGGATGCCACACTTTGCACCTTAACAGAGGACATTGAAGCAGGAGTTGCTCACGGTGTCGTTGCTGATCTGTCTGTATCAGAAGTATGTTCCTGGAAAATGCACTTGTGTACCAGTAAATTCTCTTGCATGTTCCGTTACACACGTCTTGTAAGAGCTCTGCGAGACAGCACTCACTCTAGAAACAATTATCTTCCCCTCCTAATGACTGTGTGTGCATCCTTAATCCTCTTTAAACCAAATGACAGCCACTGTGGTTCCTGTGCCAGGCGGGGGAGAGGACAGTGGCTGGAGACCAGCAGGCTGCTCTGCCCCGGGAAGAGTCCAGGCACATCCTCTGCTCTCCCTACGTAGCATCTGTTTGGTCTCTGCATCCTAAGAATTCCCAGACTGGCTGACTGTGGGGTCATCCTCTCCTCTCAGTCCTTGTCACCTGCCGGGCGGAGGGAGCTGCCGTAGCACTTGGGCTTGCTTGCACAGGGGGCCTCCTGGCTGCTGGGCGGCAGTGCTAGCCCTGGACAGAGCTCCCCGGTTGGAGATGTTGCACATGGCGGTGTCTATACTTGCTGTGTTTTCCCCCGCCCCCGCTGACGTGGGCGCCACCATCCTCCAGAGCGCCAGCTAGCTCCCTTTGTAGCCCCGTCTGGTCTCATCCTCTCGGCTCCACCAGAAACTTGACCTGCCGAGCACCACCTTGGGCTCCTAGGTCAAATCCTCACTGATCTAACCAGAGCAGAGGGAGTGTTCACGCTGAGCGGGGACAAGTCAGGACAGGAGTGGCCCGGGAGCTCGTGGGGAGCTCAGGGCACTGGGACCAGTCCTCAGGTCCCTGATGCAGGCTCCACAACATTTGCAATGAGATCTGGTCGGGGCATTTTCTGGATCCTTGGTTTTTCAACTTGTATCTATATTTTTCCCCCCATTTCTGTTCTCAGAGAGGTTATCGGTTTGTCATTTGTTTATGGGTGAAGTCTAACAGGCAGTGGAATTTCATGGCCAACATGGGATGGCTAGGTTTTTGCCTGGGTTTTTCTGCTAACAGTAAAATGGGATCTTTGCCACTGACCATGATGCTAATAAGGCTTTTCTTCCGAGAGCTTCCTGCAGACGGCTCCATCCCTACAGATCACAAGTCCCCATGCCTTTTAGCCCTTTCCAGACAGTGTGTATTTATAAGCGTCTGGGCGCTCCTCCACGAGAGGTTTGCGGGACTAAAAATCTGTTCTCGTTCAGGATCCGTTGTGTTCCTTTGTGTCTTGCCTGTGAGGTTTGGCTCAGATGGCATGTGAGCCTCCGTGTGGATCTTCATTCTGAGATCATTTTCAATGAGCTGAAGACATTGGTGGTTTTCTCAAATTTGTCTTTTAGGAGTTCTACGTGGACTCAGGGCTTGGCAAGGCAGTACCACTGCATCAGATTTTACTTTTAATTTATTTTTTATTTGTTAGCATTTGTGTGGTCCCGACCCCACCTATGGAGTGGCGGTTCTTAGGAACCCATCTGACATTGCCTATGGGTGCGGCAGGTTCTGACCCAGCCATAGTAAGTTACAGAACTCAAAATGGGAGTTTGAGGCTGGCTCGCTCTCTCTGGGGAGAAGCACGGGGCTCCCTGAGTTCCCTGTGTCCCCGCTGGTCCCCTCCATCCAGCGACAAGCCATGGGCATGCAGACCATGCATCAAGAACAACAAGAGCAATATTGAATTGTTCATTATATCTAGAACTATATACAGAGTCTATACTTTTCCTGCATTTTTGAAGTCTAAAGCAGTAAACTGTACATAGCTGTACGCAAGTATATTTGTTTCACTGTTTGTAATATTTACGAAATGCTCATTCTTTGTAGAACAAGAAACGTATTCAATATTTTAAAAAAACTGCTCTGTAATACTTCGTTTTTTTCCTTCCAAAATTTGTAATGTGTTGCTCCTACATAAGCTCTCCCTGGAAATATCCATAACTCACGGGACACTTGAATACCTTCGAAGACACGTCCTGGAACTCAGAACCCATAAAGCCAACATGTAGAGAAAGTATTTACAGAGCATGACTTTTATACGTGTGGGATATCAATGTGTATATTTATATTCAAAGTGTATTTATTGTTACAGTTCCATTCTCTACTCTGTTTTATTTACTCCACGGTTATAAAATCACCCTTGCGTAACGTTTCTAGTTGCCAGTGATGTTCTGAAAATGATGGGACATACTCCAATAAAGCTTCGGTTATGACACCCTGGCCGGAAGGCAGTGTCGCGTCTTGACCTTCAGGGCGGGGCTGGGCTGCGGGCACTGGCGGACGAGGCTGTCAGAGTCTGGGAGGATCTCTGGTGGGCCCCCGCAGCCTGCCCCCTGCCCTTGTCACTGGGTGGACATGAAGCAGGTGCTACAGGCATCCTCGGCTCAGAATGGGAGGAGCCAAGACCACGTGTCTCCTCTGCCTTCCGCACCCTGGGCTCTTCAGTGAGGTGGTCCTTGGAAGCCCCTGGAGTGGAGTGCTGCTTGCCCCCTCTTCCTGTTTCTCCAGGCTGCCTTTGGGTGACACAGGACGAGCAGATCTGGAACCGAAAGCAGAGGCCTCCCCCAGCGACTGGCTGGCTGAGTGAGTGCACGGCTGCTCTGTGAGTCTTCCGAATGGAAATATTCACATCTGCAGAGTGAGTGTCCCTGAGGATTAATTTAATGATAAGCACAGGCCCTGGGAGCCGTCTTGTCGCACATAGAGCCTTCGATGGGGACAAACAAAAACCTGCTGACTATGCACGACTCTGTCTGGAAGATCCTAGCCTGTGAGCGTCAGTCGGTGCACACACAAAGCCATCAGAAAGTTTGCATTTCTCAAAGCCTCTGGTAGTTTCCCACAGGCCACTCCCGCCGCCTCCTAGCTGCTCCAACGCGTTAGTCATTATTGCTCCATTATTCAGAGTTTCTCATTTATGGACACAATTCCAATCAGCAGGCCCCATTAGGCCCCATTAAAAGGCATCGTGCTACTTATCAAACTTTAATGTGCAATCGGGGCATTCCAGGGTCTTGGGACTTGGTGGCGTCTGAGGCCTCAGGGCTGGGTAGTGCGTAGGATTCTGTGTTTCCGGTCCGTGGGCCCCACTAGCAGCAGCAGGCCTGTCATCTACTTGTTCTCCGATCGTGCTGCTCACTGGAATCTCCCCCGGGGGAGACCCTCCCCCAGCGGGCAGCTGGAGTGTGGCTTTGGCTTCAAGATCTTTTAAAAAAGTCTGAGGTCGTTCTGCCAGCGCTAGGTGTGAGGGGAGCTCACTGCTCCTGGTCGGAGCCCCCACAGCCACCTGGAGTGACCTCCCCTTGCCCCGCCCAGCTCCAGCCTAGCACATACTCTGCTCTTGACAGCTTGTCTTGTTCTTTCCAGCCTGTCGGTATTGAAGACTCATGCCCCCCCCCCTTCCCTCTTGGCCTTGCTGACGTGCAGGGCACCATGGGCGCGGGGACAGAGGGCTGATCTGCTGCCATCCAGCCCTTCGCGGCTCGGGTCTTCACTGTGCTCACGTGTTTCCCAAGACCCAAGGAAAGCATTGGCTCTGCCTACCCAGAGGCCTGCCTCGGATTTGGAGCTGCGTCCTCACGCCTTCATTCTCCCTTCTCCATTGACCTTTTGTCATCTCAGAGGCCTTTGCCTGTGCTGGTCTATCACGAGCCATTGATGAGCCCGGAGTCAGACTCCTGTGGTCCTTAGTGATCACTGCTATCATTGGTGGTGTTAGTGGTTTTAGTCTTTTGGCCCCAAGCAACAGAGAAGGGGTTAGCTTAGGTGTAGGAAAATAAAAGAAACTGGTGTATTCCCCTTGAACTCCTCTCAGGAGGGAGACAGGCATTCACAGTGAAAGGAAGACGAAAGGTAGGGCCAACAGATGGACAGCAGGTGGATGTCACGTGTTCCCTTCAGTCTCGCCGGAAGCCAGTATTTATCTTGCAGTCAGTCTGACAATAACCAACAGTGGCTTTCAAGAAGTGCCTCCCCAGATGCCGGTCACACCCAGCACACCCTCAACCACGGTGGTAACACCCCCCCCCAACAAGTTAGGCACCATGGATAGTCCCAGGGCCCCCATGACAGTCGGAGAAGTGTCAGCAAATCCCGGGGCAGGTACCGTGGTTCTAAGGCGAGTGGGGAATGAGCAGCTGTGGTTGTGCTGTTGGAAATCCCCTCTGTCCGCCTGTCCACCCGTGCACCTTGCAAGCTCTCCCTGTATTAAGGCTGCCCTCAAGTGACCTCCTCGGTGAAGCCTTCTCTGGTCACTTAAGTCAAAACCTCTGTCTCCCTCCTCGGAATTCCCCTTGATCTTGTTTTCCTGACCTTGAAGACGCTCCTGCCGTGTTTTATGACGCAGACATTATTGTTCATATACATCCCAATTTGTTTTTTGTTTGTTTGTTTTTTTTTTTTTTTTTTTTGACAGGCAGAATTAGTGAGAGAGACAGAGAGAAAGATCTTCCTTCCACTGGTTCACCCCCCACAAATGGCTGCTACAGCCGGTGCTGGGCCGATCCGAAGACAGGAGCCAGGTGCTTCTCCTGGTCTCCCATGCGGGTGCAGGGCCCAAGCACTTGGGCCATTCTCCACTGCACTCCTGGGCCACAGCAGAGAGCTGGACTGGAAGAGAGGCAACCGGGACAGAATCCGGCGCCCTGACCGGGACTAGAACCCAGGGTGCCGGCGCCGCAGGTGGAGGATTAACCTAGTGAGCCATGGCGCCGGCCAGTTTTATGCTCTTTTTAAAAAGTTTATTTGAAAGGCAGAGATACAGAGAGTCGGGGGGGGGGGGGGAGAGGGAGAGAGAGAGAGAGATCGAGAGAGAGAGAGAGATCGTCTACATGCTGGTTTATTCTCCAAGTGGCTGCCATGACTGGAGCTGGGCCAATCTGAAGCCAGAAGCCAGGAGCTTCTTCCAGGTCTCCCATGTGGTTACAGGGGTCCAAGCACTTGAGTCATCTTCCACTGCTTTCCCAGGCTTTAGCAGAGAGCTGAAAAGAAGCGGAGCAGCCAGGACTTGAACCGGCACCCACATGGGATGCCGGTACTGCAGGCGGCAGCTTTAAGCACTACACCACAGCGCCGCCCCTCTTTTCTATTTTTCAAGCTTTATTTATTTGAAAGAGGGAGAGAGAAAGAGAGAGAGAGAGCAAGCAGTCAAGAGATCATCCATCTGCTGACTCATTCCCCACATAGCCACAACAACCAGGACTGGGCCAGGCCATAGCCAGGAGCCAGGAGCTTCTTCCAGGTCTCCCACTCGAGTGCAGGGGCCCAAGGACTTGGGCCATCTTCTACTGCTTTCCCAGGCCACAGCAGAGAGCTGGATTGGAAGTGGAGCAGCCGGGACAGAAACTGGTGCCCATAGAGGATACCAGTACTGCAGGTGGCGACTTTGCCTGCTATGACAACACAGGCACCATCTTTTCCTTCCAAGATTTGCATATCGAGGGATTAAATAAAATCTAGGTGTGGGCATTTAGCTGAACACTTATGATGCCACTTTGGATGCCTGCATCCCACATTGGAGTATCTGGGCTTGATCCCTGGCTCCGGTTCCTGGCTCCAGCTTCCTGCAAATGTGTGCCCTGGGAGGCAGCACTGGTGGGTCAAGCAACGGGCTCCTGCCATCCACATGGGAGGCCTGGATGGAGTCTCAGTTCCCAGAGTGGGGCCCAGCCCAGCCCTGGCTGTTGTAGGCATTTAGGGAGTAAAGTGACAGATGGGAGCACCACAGCTCCCTTTCAAATAAATAAATAAAGTTAAAAAATAAGCAAAAATCTAAACAAAGCAAGTGAATGAAGTACTATAAATGTTGAAGTTCTTAAGAACATGCCAGAAACTTGTGTTTTTTAAATTATCTTTGATGGATTATTTTAAAATGTCATTCTCAAATTTAGGCTGACTAACATTAAACAAAAATGAATGAGACAGGGCCAGCCCTGTGGTACAGTAGGTTAATTCTCCAACTGCGGCATTGGCATCCCATATGGGCACCAGTTCAAGTCCTGGCTGCTCCTCTTCCGATCCAGCTCCCTGCTAATGGCCTGGGAAAGCAGTGGAAGATGGCCCAAGCACTTGGGCCCCTGCACCCACATGGGATACCCGGAAGAAGCTTCTGGCTCCTGGCTAGGATCAGCACAACTTTGACCGTTGCGGCCTTTTGGGGAATGAACCAGCTGATGGAAGACCTCTCTCTCTCTCTGTCTCTCTCTCAGTGTAACTTCCTCTCAAATAAATAAATAAATAAATAAATAAATGAAAGAGACCATAGAAACTGTGCAAGAAAATTAGTCAGTTGGATGGGAAGAATTTAGACATTCTGGAATTTCCTTCCTTTATCCCATACTTCAAGATGTTGGTAGGCTGTGTTGTAGTGTTCAAGAAAAGGCAGTGAAATAGCTTTTTCCTTGTAAATTTTATAAATGTGAAATATAAAACAAATGGACTTTCCCAGTTGCTAGTAGTTGTGGTCTCAGCAGCGGTTCCCTAGGCAGAGATTTTGTCACACCACCTGGGCCAAAATTCTATTACCAATGTGCATTTCATCTTGGCCGCTGTATTGCTTGTACTTTCTTTAGTTTGTTCAGTTGAACTTCTCCCGTTTATATGTCTAATTCATTGTCCAATGAAGCAAAAAGGTAGATAGGGAAATAGCAACCTTATAAGGTCACCAAATCTTTCTGTGGATACAGTCCATCCGCAGTCTGTGTGTGTGATCATTTTCTTTTCTAGAAGTTTTATTTATCTTGGACTGGTGTTGTGGCATAGCGGGTAAAGCTGCTGCCTGCAAGGCCAGCCTCTCACATGGATGCCAGTTTGTGTCCCAGCTGCTCCACTTCAGATCCAGCTTCCTGTCAATGTCCTGGGAAAAGCAGTGAAGATGGTCCAAGTGCTTGGGCCTCTGCTACCCACATGGGAGACATGGAAGAAGCTCCTAGCTCCTGGCTTGGCCCAGCTCTGGCCACTGGGGCCATCTGGGGAGTGAAGCATCAGATGGAAGATCTCTCTCTGTGTATGTATGTGTATGTCTCTCTCTCTCTCTCTGTAACTCTGACTTTCAAATAGTTAAATAAATCTTTAAAAACAGTTTTGTGTATTTGAAAGGCAGAGCAAGAAAAAGAGAGGAAAGAGAGGGAGAGAGAAAGAGAGTGAGAGAGGGGAGAGAGGAAAAAAGAGGGAGAGAGAGGAAAAAGAGAGAGGAGAGAGTAAAGTGAGAGAAGTGAAAGAGA